TGTATCAGCGAAAATCGTTACTCCTTGTAATGCTGCCTGGGGAGTTAACAGGCACTGAGGGGGAACTGCTCACTGCGCCCTCCCTGCCTGCCTGTCCTTTGTCCTAGTTAAACACATGCTGTAATTTTAAGTGATGACCTTCCTAATGTAAAAGCCATTTTTCCCAGCATGATCTTCTTGCCCTGAAACCTGGAACTTGTGACTTAAAAAGTGTTCTGCCTCATTGATGAAGCCCATTTCTGTTCAACAGAGTTGAATAGATGTTTGCATGTAAAGGTAAAAAGAGACAGTTATCTTCCTGTCTTTAGGAGCCTGCCAGTGAAATTGATTTGTACCAGACTTGACAAAGACATACCTGTCTCACAGTACTTGAAGATGACAAGTATCTTCCTATTACAGATTTTATGGAAAGAACTCTTCCTATGTCCACGGGGGATTGGATTCAAACGGAAAACCTGCAGATGCCGTCTACGGACAGAAAGTGCGCACAGCAAGTTTGTATAGGGCTTTAAGCACTGAGAAAATGGTCCATGGTATTAAAATGAGTCCATGTTTAATAGATTGAAGAAGTTTAGTAGTTAGTTTGATTAATATGGTAATTTTTGAACGCTTTTGTGATGTTGCATATGTTCATTTTGGAGGTTTTATGTTAAAAGAATTTTTTTTTTTAATGAGCAGAATATATTTATTGAGGGAAAGAAAGCTCCTGTCCAAGAGAGGGGCAGGAGGGGGTTCCAAGCGGGTTGTCCCCAGAGAATTGGTTTTAGCATGGAGATCGTCTTTGTGGTGTCAGGGATCAAATTCAGGACCTTGCATTTGCCAGGCAGATGCTTATGCCATTGAGCTATCTCCCTAGCCCAGGGGATCATCTTTTTTAAGCTTTTTCACAGTGCTAATTCAGGACAGTTAGCTAAAAGAGCTTAGGAGAGGTCTTTAGGCATAGACAAAGGCAAAATGGAGACGACTTGTACTTTTTTTTTTTTTTTTTTGTATTTTAGGAAAGGGTGTATTGTACTTTCTGAGGTAAGGTCTTACCATTTAGTTGAGGGTAGCTTCAAACTTGCGGTGATCCTCCTGCCTCAGCCTTGTGAGTGTTGGGATTATAGGCATGTACCACCACCATGCTGAGCCCTGTATTGTACTTTGAGTATATTGTTTATATCTGTTGGGTTTTGTTCTAGGTTGTGTAAACATTTTATTAGTATGTTTGTAGTACATAGTTATATTCATCAGAGAGTTGGTACAAGAGTAGGTTATATACATTTTTAAGGAATTAACTCTGATTCTTTAGGAAATTCATAGGAAAGTGATGTCACAAAACTTCACCAACTGCCACACCAAGATCCGCCACGTTGATGCACATGCTACCCTGAATGATGGTGTGGTGGTCCAGGTCATGGGACTGCTCTCTAACAACAACCAGGCTTTGCGGAGGTTCATGCAGACGTTTGTCCTTGCTCCTGAGGTATGTGTTGTAATCATTGTTCTTGTTGTAATAATGAAATACTCCCAGAAAGGTGTATATTTTTAAACAAATCTGTCTTTCAAATTTCAACCTTATAAGGTGCAGGAATAATAACAGTGATGTGTTTTCTTGTTACTAGCGCTCCTGTCAGTCCTTGCCCACTTGTGTGTCACTTTCTCGTTGCCCTACTAAGCCACTGGTAAAGGAGTGGCATGTTGTACCTGTTCAGGTACTTAATGTGGATATGTCCTGATTATGAGGAATACTCTTTTGTAGAGTCCAGTTAGCACATTCAGGAAATAATTGATGTAATGTAGCTATCTAACGCCATTTAAGTTTCCACAAATATACTAGAGTTCTTATTCATAGTATTTTTAACCAGGGCTCAGATTCAGTACATACACAGTTATACGGATGAGGATGTAGCTCAGTGGTGGAACACTTGCCTGCGTTCTCTACCAGCATCGCATAAAGGGAAATAGTGGTGATAGTACTTTAGTCTCTTAATTGGTAATAGTTCTTTTGTTTCATGCTGTTGACATTTTTGAAGAACAGTCGTGTGTGTATTTCATGCGTAAATGTCTTTCATAACCTCACTGATGATATATATGATATCATTTAGTCCTGCTCATGTTATCTTTAAGTACCTTAAGGTGATGTCCATCAGGTCTTACCACTGTGAAGTTAAATATTTTTCTTTTTCTGATTTGTGAATTGTGGCAGACTGTACAATTGTGGGTTTTTTCGTTTTTTGTTTTTTGTGTTTTTTTGGTCTTTGAGACGGCCTCGCTATGCAGTTCAGGTCGGCCTTGAGCTTACTGTGTATCCCATGCTGGACTCAAACTCACAATGATTCGAGTGCTGGGATTAAAGGCCTGTGCTACCATACCTGGCTCTACAGTTTTGTTCTTCATCAAGTTTTTCATACTAACTGTGGCATTAATTTGTAGTTAGGGCTGGTGAGATGGCTCAGTGGTCTAAAGCGCCTGCTTGGAACAAGCTTGGCAAAGCACAGGGACCGCGGTTCAATCCCCCAGCACCACATGCCAGCCAG